TCACGTACTCTTTCAAAAACACCAGGATCGATTCTGATTGCGTTACACCTACCAATTATCCGATTTCTCAAATCAAATCAAATAAGCGCCCTATCAAAAATCATCGAACTTATAGAATCATCCAAGTAATAGCCCTTTACATTTTTGCCGCATGTTTAATAAACACCCTGTATATAAAAGAAGTATATGGATAGCCGCGTATGAATAACACTACATAATAACAGGCAAGCGCATTAGCGCCTATTCCACATCTAAGGACAGAAGAGTATTTCCCTCTTTCAATGTTGGCGATAGGTGTGTTCACTCGTTTATCCATGATATAGACGGTAAGAACATCACCGCATGTAAAAAAAATTGGGTGATAGAGGGGATCAAGACAAGCACTTTTTCCAAATAAACCGAAGGACCAACATAGAGCCACCTCCAAAGAAGAGGTCAAATCTGGATTTCTTCTTTCATTTTTTTTTCAGCAACCATTAAGAGTTACAAAAATGGGTGACACCTCTTTGAATAGGTGTTCGGGTATGCCCTATCCGATTTTGAAAAAAAAATTTCAAAATTCCTACCACGAAAGGGCGCACTCCTACTTGGGGGCGCGAAAAAAACTCTGATTTCGACGAAATTTGGTATCTGGGGTTTTTGAACATGAAAATGACGAATCTGGAATTAGTTTTTGAAAATTCGAAAAAAAAGTTCAATTGCAATTCTTGAATGAGGTAAGGAACAAAATTGTCAACAGTTTTTTTAAAATAACTTTTATCCAAAAGATTTGTAATTACCTACATGCTGATTGTCAAAATATATGTGACAATTGTCTTACTTTAACGGCCGTCGCTATGACAGCGGCCGCGAAAGTGAATTTCGCGGCTGCCATGGCGAACGCGAAGTTGTTGTTTCGCGTCCAATTGCACAAAATAGTTATTTGTTTCATAAGTACGAAAAATGCACCTTTCCGGGACAAGGAAGGGAAACGCATTTTTCGTACGAATGAAACATAAAATTTTTTCTCCAACCACTTTTTTACTTACCCAGTGTGTTTGCGCACGCTCTTGTAGATGTAGTTAATGTCGTTTGTCGACCACTGCTTCATCTTTTGGGTGCCACTCTATTAATATTTTTTTAGGTTAAGTAGCCTCCTTATGAAAGTAAACATGAATCAAGATATCGGCTGGGGATCTCTGGCGCCAACATCGAAAAACCAAATCCACTACACCGACTTCACGTAAAACGCCAAATTATTTAGTTTCCCGGCTTTTACATACGTCTCGCATACGTTTTGATTAAAAATAAATATATTCGTTTAGGATTTACCGCTTACACTGTAAATATTTAGTCGCGGTGTGTCGTCAACAGTTTAGTGTGCAAAGGTTTGAAACAGGGTCGAAAAGTAGGGAGAATAGTCAAGTTGACTACTGTATATACCTCTTTAAAAATCATGTATGACGTTTGCATTGTACTGAGGTACAAAATACCACTCATACCGTATTTCTAATTATGTTTCCTTCATAACAACAATTTTTTTGGGGACGTTTACCGTAAGTAGTAGCATAGTTTCTATTCTTTACACTCAGGTAATAGGTAGGCCGAGTACATCACTTCACTTCAGCCGAACGCGGGAACATAAAAAGTTAGCGGGAAAAGGAGAATAGATTTTTGAAAAGAGCGGGAAAGATTTACTTATATACAACTCTGTGGAATGAATAGCAATAGTTTAAACGAAATACCAACAGATGGCCCTGAAAACGAATCAGAGGCGTAACATAACATTGAATAAAATGTATTACACATTAAGCTTAGAATAGTGAAAACAGTAATGAAAGAAGAAACGTTTAGAGCGTGAAAAGGAAGATACAATCGTAAGAAAAGCGCAAAAATCGAAGAAATCAAAAGAAGAGATTTAATGAAATGAGTACGCCATGATATGAAATTCAAAATCAAATAAACAAATTCCTAACCTAAAAATCAAAGTAAATAATACAATACAAAAATAAAGTAAAAATGGACCTGTCACAACATTCCATGTAATTTGGCAATAAATTGTTATTGTCGAAATTCTTTTTCGCCCCGTATCTTCGAAACAAAGCGCCCTATCAAAAATCATCGAATGATAAAATATCCTTACAATGCATGATACAGTATCATGCTTACGTTTACATTACAACAGTCCAAAGAATAGCCCTTTAAATTTTTGTCGTATGTTTAATAAACACCCTGTATATGTTTTAACCACATTAATCATTTATTATAAAATTTTGTCAGATATGTGGGCAATTAATTTCTCATGTAGTTGCGAAGGTATTAAGTATCTCAAAAAGTATGCACCTACTACTCCAAAGTAAGCTGTTAACTATCTTAAGTTTCAACCTTGTTTTGATGGTTAATAACTTAGACAAGAAGGGTAATAATTTTTTATTATACGTGTTAATAATGAAAATTGTGATCGCAAAAAAGCATATTACAGACTCCTTGGCTAGTAGAATCAGAATGTACCCTGCATGATTTTCAGTAACACGGCAGTTATATGACATCATCTTGCGGGGTATGCGTTTTAAAGTGACTTCTTATCTGTGGGTAAAGTAAGCTGCTGGTGTGTCTTCCCCACAGCCAAGAAAGATTAACGTTAAGAATGGAGTTAACTTGAGAATAAACCTACTTCAGAAGAGCCGTTGCTGCACCATCCAGACACCCTACATACCTAGTGGTACTAAGGGGGGGTTCACAGAGATATTTCTGAATAAACATTCTGTTCTATCGCAATAGATAAAGATAATACAAACCGTTTATTATGTCAGCATTATTATCTATCTATACTAGAGGTATCTAAAACAGAAACATTAATATTGTATGCTATTGTACAATGGAACTAATACTTAATTATCAATTTCTAGCGTGTTTACGTTCAAAATAATATTACCATAACTTTATTTCATCTACTCTAATACATGCTAATACACAAAATCATAATTACCTTAATAACTATTTAAAAATTGTAGAATTACAATTGGCAAAAAATAACAAAACAACAGAAAAGTTACATTATTGTCACATAACAAAACTATCTAATCTTAATTTGCCTTCATTTTCCGTTAAGTAGATCATGTCAGCAAAAGTATGCTCACAGATTGCTTCCTCTGCTCTTTGGTTCATCTACGAATTAGTGAGTTAACAGTGACCTTTAACTAGATACATGACAAACATACCCCTCGAAATTCAAGTTCTGTATTCATTGGCAAATGCTTAAAGTTTGGCCCAAAGTTTACGGATACTGTCGCACTTTTGTGTATAGAAACGGCTGGGTAATAGCAGCCACTGTAAATGTCCGTAAAAGCGGTGCCTTGATAATCACCATTCTTAAAGAAAATGACCCTACTTCCACTCAAGGGTTTCAAGTTTTTTAAACACTCCGAGACGTTGTCCTTATCTTCATAATACAAATGACTTTTAAATTTAACTAAAGGCTGTAAAAAGATAAATGATATTTGTATATAAACAGGAAATACATACCCTGTCTTTATACGTATTTGGAATTAGCTTTGTAATGGGCCTTTCAGGGAGAATAATTAAAAAACCGAGAGTATCTCCTTCTCCATATCCATTAGAGAAACGTTTACCTCCAGATTCATGGAATTTAGTACCTTTTTTTGATCGCCAGGAGTATCCAAATTTATCATATCCCAAAGGGGCCTGCAAATTGGCGTAGTCCTGCCCCCAACCCAATCTAACGGCTGAACCTTCCGGCATTTCCTCAATGGTCGCTTCCCAATACCAACTGCCACGATTAACCCCTAAAATTCCAACATTACAATCGCTGCAAGTAAACGAACCATGCAAACCTAACAGTGAGTTGCTCTGACCATGCAATAGCCCTTTTCGCCAGTAACAGCCAACCTATCTTCTGATATCTTTAATTGTGGAGCTCTGTCGTGGAGAGCCAACAAAACCGTGCTTGGTACCAATATTCGATATAGCCATCCCGGGATTGGTTTACCTGCCCAATCGTTGCTTTCGTCAAACTCCTAGAATTAAAAATATAAATACGAAATATTGAAACTGGATTAATTTTGGAATTTTTCAAAAGTATTTTATGACAAAAGCTCTAAAAATATTGCTAATACAGATATATCTATTGTCAATATTGGATAATATGGACTTGGTGCAAATTATAAAGGAACCTACTCATATTACGCAACACGCTATGACGTTAATTGATCTAGTAATAGCATCCCAAAAAGACACCATATATTCTAAGAGCCCGCGACGCAAACCATTACCATTCAAATAGCAGCACAAAACGTATACATGAACAAGTATTGAGTGTGACCATACACTTGGTCTGTCGGACCGCAATTAGCCGGAAGGTAAACAAATTCAATTGTTTATTTGTATGTTTCATAAGAAATCATTACTTTTAAGAAAAGCAGGTCATATGTGGTTCCAAATTAAAGCTCTTGACGTCAGCTGCACAACTAGCTCGGTCTGTCGGCAGGCAAATAGCCGGAAGTCCTTGACAGACCGACATTTAGTCTGCTGCTAGAAGCCGACATTTCAGTTAGTTATAAATTTCTACGGTCACTCTGATCCAAGCATTTTAGTTCTGTACCAAGGAGTAAATAACCATAAACCTATACAGCGGATCTAAAAAACCGGCCGAGCTCCTTGGTTTGACCCTACGGGGTCGTCGAACATTTCGCAGCCAAGAGGAGGAAGAGGAGACAGAAAGAGAGGCAGGGAGAAGACCACAATAAGAAAGGGAGAAAGAGGAAAGAAGAAAACGAGCGCAAAGGAGGAATGAGAAGCTAATGGAACGCCCGGGGGAGAAGCCAACATCAGGAAGCAGAGTTCCCTCTAATGCAGATATTTCAGTGGTGAAGCTGTGGCCGTACCCTTTCGGGTTGGACAACACCCAGTTAGCCACCCCCCCACAACCTCCCCAATCCACAACATCCACCGCGCACTGTTTGGCATATTTAATTACTACGGTTTCCCAAAGTGAAATATAATAAATGAGTCATGAGCAAACGCAAGCTACAACAAACCTGTTTACAACTTTGTTCTAAATTAATTAGGGGAGAAATATTTCGATATAACAAATTAGCATTGAAATCCCTATGGTGCGTAAATCGTTTTTCTACACCCTGTATGTACTTGGGTCGAATCTTCTATAGAAATGTTTTTCTTTTTTGAATGTAGGCTTCATTTTTCACTCAACACACACACACAAATCATTGCAAACAAAAATAAGGAATTCAAAAGTAGTCGTAGTATTGAAAATTTGGTTGAAAAGTTGAAATAATTTATGTTTATTGCCTTGTAAAATTTGTATTAAAAAATCTTCCTTGTTTTATTTTCCTTTACTAGTGAAATACCGGGCTGGAGGGATAGCAGCTGCATACTTTCCAACTGTTGTTCAATTTCAAATTTCACGGTTCTCGAACGAAGCCACAATGGTTGCCATTTGCGTTACTTTAGTAATCTAGGAACTTTATACTCAAATAGAGCGCAACGGCTGCCATGTTTCCTTCAGATTTGAATGTCATAACACAAATCTAGTTGGATATGAACAACTGGTGAACGCATTTGCGTATCACGTTATCAGTTGACTTTACTCCCATTGGTTACATTCAAAACTAGAGGTAATCGATTAAATTCGCGATACGCACCCTAGCGGCCAAACGATTAGAAATAGATAAATTCTGTTTGCGCCTGTTATTTTCTCTTTAAAATTGATTTTTTATATCTTTTAAAATAAACGGTGTTTTTCCATAAGAATGGACCACCCTGTACAACCTTCAAAAAGACTGCGTTTGTTGTGTATTTGTGAGAGGAAAAATCTATTACAACAGCAACTTTATAAACACGTTAATTTTACTTTTTAACATTAAGATGTAGGAAATGATGACACAACTATGAGATGCGTCTGTCAGATCTTCATTTTAGGATTAAATTAGTATTAAACTGTAGGTAAATCTGCCTTGTGCTAAATATCTTACAGAGATTGTTTCATTGCTGTTTCATAACTAAGTATATGCAATAAACACTTGTATGCCACGTTTGAACTGATTTGATTAAACCACATTTGAGGAGAAATGGAATCTGATACACAAAACCTGAATAATATCACTAAATGCCTACGTCAATACTTACGAAATAACATATCAAAATACAGGATAGTTTTTTAACCGAATTTTTTTCCTAAATCACACTGTAGTACCCACAAATGAATTCATATTTACCTGACGGTATGGTGCATGTGGGTCTGGTTCCGCTAACAAGTACCGATATCCATCTTTGTTAAACGGATGATCTAAAGGATATCCGTGTGCAGGTAACTTTAAAGCACTAAGATCGACCTGCCTTCCTTTTTTACCCAACTGTCCAAATTCATTTGGAAATTTCCTTTTCGCATTTCTGCTTTTGACTCCGCTAACGACCGGCACTGAAAACATGGATTATAGTTACAGAAACGATTCGATTGCTATCTTATCAAATATAGTCTGTTTTTATCAAATCAATTACCTGCTCTAATCATTTTTATCTTTACTTTGAAGGTAATTAGTATTTTGATCTGTTTATAAACAATCAGTTTAAACAACTGTTTTTAAAACAACTGCCTAACTTACAAATATTCACCAAATCATATCAAGCTGTTGAAAATGTCATACCATGTTGAATTCCCATGTCGGTAACTCGAAGAGTGCCTCCCCTAATCATTGCTTCATAATTTGGCCTTATTTGAGTCAAATTATTGCATAATAAACCATACATTTGTCCATCAGTCATACTTTCCTCGAATACAAACAAAATGTGTATATCTTTAACAAGAGCCCTGTGAACTGTAGAATGCCATGACTGAGTCACTCTCCGAGCCGTCGTTGTCAATGCTTCCCAATGATACTCCATGTACGGTATGATTTCTTTGTCTTTACTAAACATGATGCGATTTAGACCCTCTTTTGAACTAATTTGTTGTAGATTAGCGATTGCTGTTACACACATTTGTTGTATTTCTAAAATGATCCCAGATAAATCTAAATCACCATACGAATTTTCCCTTACGAGCTTGACTTTTTTTGAAACTTTCTAGTCCGGTTGGGGAACAATTTTTACACAGAAATATATAATTGGATAAAAATGGAACTAGTTTTCCCAGTTGGTAGCTAATGCAAGATTCATGAAACCATCTATTACAATTTGCACATAACAGTTCCACAATGTTTAAATTTCGATCTTTCCCGCTAAAACATTTTGAGGTTATATTGTTTAAAACAGTAAAACAATACTTACCAATAACAATTTAATTGAGATTCTAATAATTTTGTCTCCCTCTTTTCAGTTTCATTGATTTTTAACTGAAGCATTAGCTCATTGTCCACATCTGAAGACTTTTCTTCAATTGTTTCAAGTTCATTTGTTTTTTCAATTGGTATAAGATTCTGCGATTGACTAAAATAAAACATCAACCTTTAGATTTGTACTAGTACTGTAATACCTACTTTATCTCTATTTCATCTGCCATAATAAACAAATTCAAAATCTAAATAACATACAAACTACAACTCTACTGAACCACACACCAAAGATCACAGACCATGCACTGAATCATAGAATAAATACAAATTGTATTTACTCTATGACTGAACCAGTGGCGGCTCGTAGAACGTAGTGCCAAATTGCTCCCATAATTTTAGTAGTTACAAATCTTTGTTTCCATATTATTCCAGTTGTTTAGATTTAGAGTATAAGCGTTGAGTGAAGGATCTAGGTAGAGTGGTAATGCCTATATGAAAAGCGGTCATCCTTTCCGATCTTTTACTAAGGTAGTCCCTTCTCTATCGCACATCGCGTCTCTGCCCCTCCGAGTCCACGTTTTGCAACACCGATAGCTAACGCCATCGACAATTTCGACGGCGCTTTCCTTCTTTACAATTTACAAGTATTAAGTATTTTCGCCCAGCCGCCCTCTCCAACGAAATTAGTCTTTAGCGTAACTCCAATTGCAACTATCGAAAACCGTTGTAACACACGTAAACAAAATGAGTCATTCTATTTTCATGCAATTGTATACCTGCAAAATATCAGTCCCTTATCATAATTATTGGATCAGATACCTAATTAAGAGCAGTTCACATTCGCAAACACGATTTTTAATCCCTACGCTGCGTCCGACATGATGACCATTTCTAATAATTTTCCTCAAGGGATAATGAGCTCAGCCATTTCTAGTAGGAATTCCTAATAAGTACTTCAGCCGCAAAGCTACACGGAATCTGTTATATACGTTTACCTTACCTTTAAGCATTTTTCCTCAGCAACTTACGTCGTCCACTTTTGTACATATGTTCTGTTAGAAAGTGTTATTAATTTATGTTTCAACCCTTGGATGTCCATTTCAAAAATCTTAATGTTCCCGCAGTTACGTTGCCACACCTTGGTCCTAGTTTAGTCTGTTATGGGAAATTTAAAGAAACTTATCCCATCACTATGTTTATTGCTGATGTAGCAATTTGCATAAACGCAAATATGATTTGCAACACTCATCCTACAATTTTAGCACGCTACCGACTTATTTTAAACCGATAACGCTAGGTATAGGTACTCTCTCGCAATTTGAAAAAAAGACGGTACCTACAAAGACAACTTGTTTAATTGGCGAATCTGCTGGTAACTTTATCTAGCTATTCTGCTATCATGATTAAAGGCTTGCTTTTGATGCGGCCGCTTGTTTTATATAGAATATACCTAGATATAAAATGTGCATTATAATACTTTTAAATAATATGTTTCGGTCACCGTAAACATACTGTTTCGATCATTGATCACAAATTAATTTTACAAGGGCCACATGCAGCCTCTGATACGGACCTACCGTAACCGTATATTTCGCCTGTTGCCCTCGCTTTGCTCAACGCTGCTGTGCGCAAATTGAATAAAGCGATAATGTAATTGTAAGGTTAATATTGTGGTAGCGAAAATATGAAAATAAAATAATGCAATCCGGATCTGGATCGCCGACTTGGTTGTTGCCGTCGGGATCTGAGATCACTCTTGGCCGCCTATATCTCAAACCCCACGTTCACTATGCTTTTAACATAAGTATTGCCTCTCTACCTAGATCCTTTTCTAATATTTATCTACAACATTCCAAAATCTGTCTACTGGCTGGAAGCTGGAGTTGGTGAGACACCTTGGTAGTTTCATCTAGAGTGACGGAACCAAATTTAGCCCCTTTAATTTCTTTGGAAACTTCTTCATGATATACTTAAAGCAAAGAGTAACTATAATAAGAGATCCAACGGTATAGAGAATAGTGTTGCATATGTATTGTGTGTTGCCTAACAAATTTTAGTGCTTTTTCTCAATTTTATTGGCGTACGCTACGCCTAAGGGGCTATTTCAAGGCAACTACTTGTTTAGAAGTTTATAAATATCATTGCAGAAATCCCAGCGTTGCCAAATTTTTAGTGTTTGCTTGCACTTATTTAGGTATCTATTATTCCTTGAAATGTATGATGTTTAAAGGTATGTAATTCCATTCTACGGTTATGGCACAATTTATTAAGGTCCGAACGCTTGATGGTTTGATTCATAGGTGCGAAGATATGTTCTTCGTGTAACAATAAGCCGTTTTTTGAGCGGTAAATAATAGATTTTTTACTGTGTATTCCCAGTAAGCGCGAGTAATAAGCTCGCGTTGATTACGTCTCTGCCCCTGCCCCTTTGTACACACTGTCCGTCGTCCTACCGTCGACGGACGTGTGGAAAAGTCGAGCGAACTAGATCGTTTAGTTAGAGGAAGTAGTCTAACGAACGATATTTACTTCCGACTTGCGAGGAAATAAACGAAAATTTTTTGAAAAAAAAATAGGCCAATAGACGTTTTATAGTATTTATTGTACAAATAATAAGAGAATGAAAGATTCCCGGAAAAAATGTTTCACTTTTTAATTTTTGCCGGCCAAACAATATAATAAAACAAAATAAACTGCCTCCATTGGATTATAGTTGTGATCGAATGGTTCAAATCAGTTAAAAATGAGATCTGTGGACCAACGCAACCCCACCTCTTTAAAAATGGTTTCTTTGCGATAACTGATGTAATATATCTTCTACTACTTACCCTGTATATATGTGTTACACCTAAGTTTACTTGTTCTTAAGTTGGCACGGCTGATATACAAAATGGCCGAGTTGTAAACATTACGCTATTATTGTTAATATTGAAATTAAAACTTAAGTTGGATTCCTCTAAGCCTAACTTATTTACAACAACTGGCGCAGTCGGTCGATGAAGTTGATGGGTATATTCGTGTGTTCATTCGTGCATCCGTGTTACCATGGAAGGAATGGAAGCTATGCAGCTCGCGATGACTCGCATGGCCGAAGCCATTGCGGCACTAGCTCAGAATCAACATCAGCCTAACCAGAATCTACAACCTGAGGAGCCCCTACAGCGATCTCAAGGTATTCCAAATTTTCCCCGATATACAGAGGGCGAAAATATTGAAGATTTTTGCATCCAATTTGAAGGACTCGCTTCAATACCTACACGATTACAATGAAGCCCGACAAAAGGCCTCATTTCTGGCTCTACTACCCACTACAACGTATCAACTACTCAAAAACTTGATCTTTCCGGAGACAGTAGCTACGCGGTCATATGCGCAGATTAAGACTACACTCATTGGGCACATGCGCCCGCCGCCTTTGCGAATTCCTTCAAGACACGCTCTGTGCTCACGTCGACAAAGGGAAGGAGAAAGCATTCCTGAATACTTAACGTCGTTACGAGCGTTAGCGATTCCATGCGGATATGATGCTAATACACTAGCAGAAGTCCTTAAAGACATTTTCGTTGCTGGAATCCGTGCGAAATCGATACTCGATCAGGTATTTACAATGCCTGACACCTCTACACTAGAAGAGCTTTATGCAAAAGCTGTGGCAATAGAGAGAGCAGAAGCAAGTTCAATGCAAATGCTAGCTGATAGTAAAATGACATCTACAGTCAATAAAGTTACTAAAGTGAAAACTCAGCAGCCACAAAAATCCAAGCAACCTACGACGACTAAATCTGATAAACCAACGTGTTTCCAGTGCGGAAAAATTGGTCACAAAAGTCCAGAATGCAGAATGGACAAGTCCAAACTGAAATGTACAAGTTGTGAACGTTCTGGTCATGTAGCAACTGTATGCAGACAGAAGAAGGAGGAAATTCACCACATTGATGGAGAAGGTGCACCTTGGACTGCTACAATTGACGTGCAAGAAGCCGCTTGAGTTCGAGCTCGATACAGGGTGCGAGTACACTATTGTTCCTGTCAGTGTGTTCCAGACCTTACGTACTGATCTCAAAAAAAGTGACAAGCTGTTCCAACCGTACGGTACCTCTGCTACGATACCAGCGTTGGGCATGTCGACCGTGAAAGTGCGCTACAAGCATAAAAAGTTACATTTGGACATCTACGTTGTTCAAGATCCAGCAGTGTCAATTCTGGGTGGAGAATGGTTGCACAAGTTGGGCATCTACATCCCTGTGAATCACGTTTATCAAGTCAAAGCTGGTCAACAGTATATGAAAGACTTAGAAAGTGAATTTCAAGATGTTTTTGCAGAAGGGATTGGTTGTGCACATAAGTCAGTGTCAATCAAATTCAAAGATAATGCTAAACCAGTGTTCATGAAACATCGATCAGTGCCATATGCGTTAAAGGACAAGATCGAAACTGAATTGGACAGAATGGTGAAAGATGGAATTCTAATGCCAGTTGAACACAGTCAGTGGGCTACACCAATTGTACCTGTCGTGAAGAAAGACTCGGTGCGAATTACCGCCGACTACTCGTGTACAGTGAACCCACAGTTGGAAGTTTCGTCATACCCATTGCCGAAAATCGAGGAACAATTGGCTAAAATCTCTAATGGTCGATTATTTTGCAAACTCGATATTACAAAGGCATATTGGTGTCTTCCAGTAGATGAAGCGTCGGCAGCTGCGCTGACCATCAACACTCATAAAGGTTTGTTTCGTCCCACACGCTTGATGTTTGGATGTGCTTCAGCCCCGGTCATATGGACCAAATTCATTGAAGAAGTGATCTCTGGAATAGAGGGTCTCTGAGGTTATTTTGATGACTTAGTGGTGTCGGCTAATGACGTCATTACTCTGAAATCACGCCTATCAGAAGTTTTACGACGCTTGCAAGCCAACGGTCTACGCCTGAACTTGCAGAAGTGTTCTTTCTTCGTGGACTCTGTCACATACCTGGGACATGAAATATCAGCAGCTGGCATCCGTCCTGCTAAAGATGGATTACAGGCCATTCAAGAGCTGCCACCACCTGCAAATGAGAGTGAATTGAAGAAGTTCCTGGGAATGGTGTCGTTCTATTCAAAATTCGTTCCTGGTATGGCCTCTACAGTCGCTCCATTAGTCGCTCCATTATACAATGCAACGAAGCAAGCAGTTCCTTGGAAATGGACACGTGAATGTGCTACAGCATTTCAAACGTTGAAGCAGCAGTTAACTTCGGACCATGTGTTAGTGTCATACAACCCACAGCTTCCGATTGTGCTTAGCTGCGATGCCAGTCCTGAAGGCTTAGAAGCTGTTCTCGCTCACCAGTATCCAGATGGTTCCGATCGTCTAATTTTATACATCCACAGAAAGTTGGACAATTGTCAAGTGAAATACTCACAAATTGATAAGGAATCATTGGCCATCAAATGGGCCGTTGAAAAGCTGAATATCTATCTTGTGGGCAGGCAATTCACTCTCATAACTAACCATGCCCCACTTGTTCACATATTCGGCATACGCAGAAAGAAATTACCAACTTTGTGTGCTACTAGATTGTTACACTACGCAATCTTTCTACAAGATTTTTCATTCACCATCAAATATCGCAAATCTGAAGAGCACGGCAACGCTGATTTCCTGAGTCGTTTACCACAACACTCGTCAGATTTACGTCAGGCTCCTACCTCAGATGATCCAGTTGATCTAGTACAGCTTCACCACATCTCACTACTGCCGCTGACTCACCAATCCATTGCGCAGCATACTCAGCGAGACATTGAAGGGCGTGAGTGGCTACAGAAACTCCGTTCGGGCGAGACACTTGGTGAAAATGAAGATGGACTCTACTCATTGCAGTAGGGTTGCGTCATGAGGGGCTTGCGTACCTACATACCTAGTGCCTGTCGCCCTGCTGTGCTTGAAGAACTTCATACGGGACATCTAGGAATTTCGAAAATGAAGGCGTTGGCGCGAGGCTATGTATTTTGGCCTAAAATGGATGCAGACATTGAACATTTGTGCCGAAATTGTCACGCATGCAGCCTGCATAAGGGCCGCTCACCTTCATTGGAAACTCATTATTGGGAACACCCCAAGAAACCGTGGGAACGCATACATGCCGATTTTGCGTTTTATGGTAAGAACACTTATCTCATAATTGTTGATGCCCATTCAAAATGGCCTGAGATAAAAATTGTACCAAACATGCTTGCGTCTACAGTGATAAATGTATTGGACGATTTGTTCGCGTCATACGGACTACCCTCGTACCTAGTTACGGACAATCAATCTACATTTGTGAGTGCCGTGATACAAGAATTTCTACAGAAATGTGGCATTAAGCATAGGACTATCGCACCTTACCATTGCGCCACCAATGGACTTGCAGAGCGGATGGTATCAGCAATGAAACTGTGCCTGCGTACGCTCAACCTCAATGAGGGTAATGCTGCAGAGAAATTACGTACATTCCTAGCAGCATACCGGCGTGCCCCACATCCTACTACGGGCGTAAGTCCAGCAATGGCGTTCCTTAAACGCGAAGTGAATACGCCGCTAAGTTTACTGAAAAATCCCAGTGTATCCCCTACAATTGAGAAACGCGCTCAATTGTCGTACGAATACCATGACCCAGTCTTTCCTGAGGGATCTAAAGTCGCAGTCAAGGACCGACCCTTACGTAAATGGAAGTTGGGATACATGATATCAAGAGATGGGGAACTCTCCTATACAGTGATGGTGGATGGCGAGCTAAATCGCAAACATGTGGACCAACTCAAGAAGGTGGGACAAGATGTGCCAATGACTCTAGCAGTAACGCCGTCTATTACTCCTGCGATTCCAGTTCCTGTTGCGACGCCTGCAGCATCCGGTCCTGCTCAATCTCCGCCGGACCAGCCTGAGCAGTCAACTCCAGTGCGGACGGGTATTGCTGAAACTCCGCGGGCTCCTGTGTCAGATCGACCGCCTCCAAGCTTCGCAGCTCAGTCTACTCCGCCTCGGTCGGCTCGTGAGAAGCGCATCCGCCGTCCAGTTATTCGCTACTCTCCTTAGTTTTTTTTTTGCTTTCTATGAGGGGAGGGATGTAATATATCTTCTACTACTTACCCTGTATATATGTGTTATACCTAAGTTTACTTGTTCTTAAGTTGGCACGGGGGATATACAAAAATGGCCGAGTTGTAAACATTACGTTATTATTGTTAATATTGAAATTAAAACTTAAGTTGGATTATCTAAGCCTAACTTATTTACAACAACTGAAAAACTACTTGACCGATTTGGACCATATTTTTACCAGTCGATGTGACTAATGTCCCCTTTAATCTCATTACTTTTCACTCCGATCGACCCACGCATTCCGGAGATATTTAAACGCTCCAGAAACCCTATATTTGAAGTGGAAGAAAATGTTGTTTTCAAAAATAAGAACATACACTGCATTATCAATCGTTTAGATGGATGAATCACTAGCAGAATGCGCGGAGGCTCAAGTTGAGCGGCAAATTTAAATACATATACTTGTGTTTTTTCCGCTAGCCAATGGTGACTGAAAAACATGTGTACGAAGCTTAGTTGCTAGGAGACCGATGCTTGCTAGTACTGCAACTTAAAATGCGGGTCGAGAGTATTTTTTTAATTAAATTGTTTAAATGAGAATAACGTGTAAATATTTACTTAAATTTATTCGACGGGTGCAGATTTATTAATTTATTATTTAACTGCACTATATATTTTGACTGATTATTGGATTAGACTGATGTTTTTTTTCTGAGGACATAAGGATTATTGCATTGTAATGATTGATTGTTAATGATTCAGCGTATGTAGGCATCTATACAAAATTAAAGCAAACTAAATTTCCTGTAAAATAATCGCTATGCTCATCATAAAATCCAATTTTATGAAATATGTTGTCTACTTTAATTTGATTGTAGTAGACGATCTAAAAAGGATGGATAATAACAAATTTAATTTACATTTTTACAATTGTATCTGTTATTGGTTATTAAATTAAATAGTAATTACTGTCTATTCAATAGACGCCAACTAAACAGGAAAATACCAATGTAATTAACAATAGGTACTGAATCGTTGCTGATTTCTTTTATACTTAAGTAATGTTTTCTAATTATATCATGTCCACATTTTATACAGCCAATAAGAAAGAAAATTAAATGTGACAACCGCGCAAATATTTTAAACCGAAATTCTATAAAGAATTCTGTAAATTTTCAATACGCGCCAATATTTAAAGAGGCGGTTAGTTCTGGCCACCTCTACGCGAGGGCCCGCTTTTGGGGTCCTAGCGGGCGAGTTCTTATAGCCAACACGCGTTTATACCATTGCGCTGTATCTCTTATTATGGATACTCTTTGCTTAAAGCCATATATATAAGAGAAAATATATATGCTTAAAGCATGCATTTCAGTAATTCATAATTTTTTTACCAAAAATCGTATGGAAAGTGATACTTTTTTTCACGATTTTTTAAGTATCCGTTTCCATGGCTTTAGCCTTATCTATAAACAATAGCATCAATTTTATTTGCAGTTTTATCACTTTCAACACTATTCAAATCTTTATCTATACTAAACAAGTACTGAAATTTATTAATTCTTTGAATACTCCTTCATTTTCGGATTTATCGCTATGGTCGACGTGTCCTACAATTCTTTAGAATTAGAAGATTTAGACACATTTTGTTTTTAAACAAAATTTAAGTGCGGTATTGCTTTATTTAAAGTTTATCTTCCAGAGAATGCATGGAAAAATATTTATTTTATGCATTTTACGTAACGATTAGTCGGGTAAGTGTAATCTTACACAGAAGTAAAAAAATTTGTGTGACACATCAAGAATGAAACACGGAAAACGGCGCAAATCATACACTTACACAATACTCAATTGTGCTTATGAGCCAAACTTGTGGTGGCTCAAGTTGTACGTATAAACGCTACTGCGGTTTCGCTCCTCCCACCCCTCTACCCCCGCGGAAGTCCACACTTGTAGGAAAATACGAGCCCGTTGATGGTCTGTGATACGAGCCAGTTTAGATTTGGCACGGCTCGAGCGTATTTGAAGTCCACAATAAGCACCATTTGAATTCTTGGTACCTAATTTATCAAATCATTTCTTTTTTGTTTTAAGTTTTAAAACACAATATGCTCTAGAGTCTAGTGAACACAATTATTAAATTGTTAATATATTTTAAGAATTGATCATTAGCTGATTTCTTGAGGTGGTGCCATGGCTCCTTGGCTCTTTATAGAGAGGACTGAACCATAGAATTACCAACCACTTGACTGAACTAACATAACAAAATAACCCCCCCCCCCTTTTCTCTACACATGAATTCCAGTGATAAACCGTGTTTATAAAAATGCTGTTGCACCATAATCAAAGGTTACACCAACTCATACCGAATTTGCAATCAATAGATGGCGTTACTATCTAGAAAATGTTCAAATCCCTTAAAGCTCGCTTCCCACTGCGTGGAATATCACATTCTTCTAGTTCGAGCTAGAATATATTGCGATCACCATTTTTGAAATTTCATCAAATGTCAACGTTTTAGATCATTTTAGGTAGATTTTAAAGAATAACATTTTTTCCGTCTGTAGAGATAACGGCTAAACGGATTTTGTTGAAACTTTGGATATGTATATTAAGCCGCATACGGAAACGAAAAATAACGAGTCGGATTTTTGAAAAAAATTTTGGAGCGCAACGGCATTAAACTTTTTTTTGTCCAAATAGCACCCTACAATTTTTATTAAGTTATTCGAAAAACCTTATTTTTCTATACAACCTATAAAAAATATGCTAGGTTTTAACAAAACGGAGAAAAAATGTCAAATTTAAAAAACAAAAATATTTTTTTCCGGAAAACGGTTATTTTGATTTAGACTAATTTTGGCATAATAATAATAATAATAATAATAATGTTTATTTCCACCAAAAAAAAAAAAACAGAAAAGGGAAAAAAAATACATACAAAAATAGAAATAAGCAAAAGGTGGAAAAAGGACCACATTCAGTGAGTAAGCACTGCTCTTCCATGTGGCCTAAACACGTAGCAAGCGTAAACACCTAACACATATATATATATATATATTATGTACATGACACGAAAATATGCAAATGCAAATGCACGACCCCTCACATGCACTTAAGTTCCTAATACATACATAGTACCAATATAACAATTTTAAAAAAAGTAATAGACACAGAATAGGAGTTTTTGCAAATTCCTTACATCATGATTGAGATGCGAAACTGCAGCAATTCACTTTTTAATTTTTTCTTAAACATATTTAAATTCAAGCTCGTTAAATTGGGCGATAATGAGTTTACGACGTTAGCGATGTTATATGAAAACGATTTTTTGAAATTTTCTGTAGCGTGGAGTGGTATATCTAATAAGCCTCTGTGGCGCAGGTTGAGATTATGTATGTCGGTACGATAGCGTAATCGATCTAACAAGTATGAGGGAGTTTTTGTGTCTATTATTTTACGATATAATACTGCAGTGTGCAAGAACCTCCTTTCGGACATATTTAACCATCCAGCTTCTCTTATCTTATGTGAGATGTGATCACCACGCCTAATGCCATATATAAATCTCAGACACGCATTTTGAACCCTTTGAATTCTGGCAATCGATGTCGAATCTATACATGCACCATATACAGCGTCACAGTAGTTGAAATGCGATAGAATAAGAGCATCAGACAGATATATTTTTGTTTGAACAGATAGAATATGTCTATTTGGCTATAACCTTTTCAAGGTAGCAAAAGCTTTGCCCACACTACAATTTATGTGTTCTTTAAATTTTAATCTGTAATCTAAATGTAACCCCAAATTCTTTGCAACATCAGTGATTGTTAATTCCGTGTCTTGAATTTTTATTTTAATGAAGGGTATAGTACTGGCACGAACCTGATCACGTCCAAAAATCATTACAGACGATTTGCTAGAGTTGATATGTAGATTATGATCAAACGCAGCGTTCACTAGACCATTAAGTTCTCTATTTACTATTTCCATAGCAAAATGAAGTTGATCTGGCCTAAAAGAGTAATAAATTTGAGTATCATCCGCATATTGATGATATTTACATTTTGTTAAAGTACTGCAAATGTAATTTGAATATATAACGTATAGTAATGGTCCTAAGACGGACCCTTGCGGAACACCACTAACCAGATTATTTACAGAAGACTTGACATTATTTACAACCACACGTTGGCTCCTACAAGATAGATAGCAACTAATCAGTTCAACAGCTGACGATTCAAATCCATAGTACAAAAGGATTGAGTTCATTAGTCGATGACTAATAGTATCGAACGCTTTAGAGAAATCGAGCATTACCATTATTGTCAACATCCCGGCATCAGTAGCATGAAAAATGTCGTTTGTAACATTTAACAGTGCTGTAGTACAGCTATGGTTTTTCCTGAACCCAGACTGGTACGTAGACAGTAAGTTATTTCCTTCTAAATACTCATACATTTGTAATTTCATCACCTTTTCCAAAATTTTAGAGAGTGTAGGAAGTATTGAGATAGGACGTAGATCTTTATATTGAGTGGGGTTTTTATTTTTGGGAATTGGAATAACATGAGCAATTTTCCAAGCTGACGGAAAAACAGAAAAGCTTAAACACTGATTAATGATATGAGTGATATACGGTACTATGAAAGGACAACAAATTTTAACCATATCAATTCCAATACCATCTGAACCGATCGATTTTGATTTGATACTGTTTATAATTTTTGCTATAGTCATGTTATCAACAACGTGAAATTTGAACTTCTCAGTTACTTTAGTATGTAAGGTGTTATAAATGAGAGACGATGCTGACAGTGAAGATGGAGTAACAGTGGGAATAGAATTTAAAAAGAAAGCATTAATATCGTTAGGATTACTTAAGTGAGATGGTACTTGCACACTGCCTTTGCTGTACACGTTTAGATCTTTAATAGCTTTCCATAGATTGCTTCTATTACTATCAGTTAAGACATAGTTGAGGTAAGCTCGTT